ATTTGGTTAACTAAAAATTAAACACTCTATGTTTGGTTTTGAAAAGATAAATTAAAATCAATGTTTCGGGGGAAAAGTGAATTTTGAAGAATGGGAAAAAAATTAATTGATTGTCAGATGGGAGACTTGTCATTGAGAAATATATTGATTGTCAAAATGTAAAAATGTAAGAGTTGGTTATTGAGTTGAAATAAAGATTATAAAATATATACACGAGTCAGAGATTTTTAAAAGGTTGAACATAAAGAAAATGTAATAACATTTTATTTAATTGGAAGCTGAGAGGAGCAGACAGGTAGCAGAAGGAGATTAAAGCAGAAAGCAAGGCAAGATAGTAGAAATAAGGCAGGCGGTAGAATAATAGCAGTGTAAATAGGAGAGGAAAGTGCAGACAAAGCTGAGGAGAAGAAGAAGAAGAAGACGACAATAAAAAATAATATAATTTCTAAATTAATTTTTTTAGAATCAAAATTAGAATACTTGTGATCAGACCAAACATAGAGAGGATAGGTAAATTAATATTTGGAACTGAAAATTGTATAGAAATTTCAAAGGCGAGTTTATTTTTTTTTTATTTTTCTTTCTCTTTGATTGTCTAAATTATTGATAGTGAAAAATATAAGTGAGTGAACCCAACCCAAAATTCAAATTCAAATAATATAAATTTTCATTATTAAATATATAATTGCTGAGCTAGCTATACTGGGTATTAAAAAGAAATTATATTTCAGGTCCAGTCTTCAATATTACATAATTTTTACATTGTAGTACATGCTTCTTAAGCATTTCGAGCACAAAGTTCAAAGCAAAATCCAAAATTCCTTGGTGTGGCCGACAGCGAAACGGCGTCGTTGCCACGTGTAGTGGTTTATAACGAGATTGATAGCGTTTGCAGCGCTTCTGTTACTGAGCGAGACATGTGTAGTGTTGTCGCAAATAGTGAAATTGACTCAGATGAACTTGTCGTTCATAATGATATTTCCCTGCGAAATTTTAGGCGAGGACCCAGAAAAAAAAACAAAATGCTAGTTTTTCAGTGCATGATTCGCTGGTCCCTAGGTGGAAAGCCATTTTACTAAATGGACTTAAAAATGAAGATTCTGTCAATCTTCTGAACAAGTATGAGTTTCCATCCAATTTACCAGACCTCTTACCGCCGAAATTAAACCCGGAAGTGGCAGCAGCATTACTAAAGGGAAACCTGGTAACAGATTCATCTTACATTGAGGTCCAGAATCAATTAGGTAAGGGAATCTGTGCGTTGGCAACGGGTGTTACCGGCCTATTAAAGAATGTTGAAAAAATTCCTGATGGCATTAAAAGTGAATTGTTAACGAGCCTTTTGGATTCTGGTCGAATCCTCTCAAACCTCTTTCACCGCGTCTCCACTACGCGGAAAAACCTAATAGTTCCACATTTAAGAAACATGAAGGAACTGTCCGATAAATGTACTCCATCGGAATATCTCTTCGGAGCCAACCTTCCTGAGAGAATTAAGTCGGTTAAAAATATTGAATCGACCAGCAAAGAGTTAAAATTATTATCAAATACAAACAAGGCATCATTCTTGATTAAAAAACAAAACAAGGGTAGTGTCAGCCAGAAACCCTCCAACAATACATTGAAAAATAAAAATTTAAACTATTATCGCCCGGCCCGTCCATAAGGGGGAGACGAGTCATTACAGAGGGCAAACATCAAGGAAGGAACATCAACATCAGAAGAGCAAAACACGAAACAACAGAGGTGCAAGGAAGGAGTAGCCCCGGTAAGTAATGAATATGGCGGACGCTTAAGGTTTTTTTATAAACAATGGCAATCGGTCACCTCCAACCCAGTTGTACTGCGTTGGATAAAAGGGTACCCTTGCCTTTTGTAGTTGATCCACATTAGCTAAATCCCTCTTTTCACCAAAGACGTATCCCCACCGAAAGCCAGAAAATGGGAAGTGAAATTTCCAAATTAATTAAAATGAAACGAGAAAAAATTATGAAATGGGTGAAATATTTTTTGACCCGGGAAACCTGCAAAATATTAAAATTTGCGCAATTTCTTGGTCTACTAACATTTGCTTGCCCGGCAGTTAAATATGGATGGCTGTATACCAAACATCTGGAAACGGCCAAATATTTAGCCCTAAGATTCAACCAAGAGAATTATAATTCGAATATGCATATTACCAAGGAGATTAAATCTGACCTGAAGTGGTGGCATAATAAGATACCACAAACATCGAATAACCTAAAAAACGATTCCTATATCCTAGAAATCTACACTGATGCTATCCTCTCTGGCTGGGGGCTTATTGCAAAGGCAAAAATGCTTATGGTTGGTGGACAGTATAGGACTCTCAAAAACACATTAATTTCTTAGAATTGCAAGCCATTTTTTTTCGGGCTAAAATGTTTTGCAGACAATTTAAAAAACTGTAGTATCTTAATACGAACGGACAACACTACAGCTTTGTCCTACGTAAACAGGATGGGTAGCGTGAAATATCCGCAACTAAATGCCTTGGCTCGAGAAATCTGGCAATGGTGTGAACTAAGTAATTTATGGGTATTTGCTTCATACATACAGTCAGCCGAAAATTTGGAGGCAGACCAAGCATCTAGGAGGCTACATCCAGATATTGAATGGGGCTTAAATTATGATATATACAACACCATAACAAAAGCCTTCGGTGTGCCAGAGATTGACCTTTTCGCGTCAATTTCTAATCGCAAATGTAAACGATACATTTCCTGGCTGACGGACCCGGAATCACAGGATGTAGACGCATTCACGGTATCATGGACGCATCTAAATTTCTATGCTTTCCCGCCGTTTTCATTAATTCTTCGTACCTTACAGAAGATTGTGAACGACGAAGCAAATGGTATTATGGTAGTACCATTTTGGCAATCACACCGTGCACTGATAAAATTATTTATTTGTATTAAAAAAAATATCTTTTTACTCAAATAAATATTTGTTTCCTATGGTCCAAACTAATATTTATTTGATAAATTTTAAAGATTTTTTTGCCATGTGTACCCTTAAATAATTTGAGATAAATAAATCGATATTCCATTATAATAAACTACTAGTCAAAATCAAACAAATGCATATTTGTCCAAATCACTAACTGAAAAAATGAAACAAATAATTATTTGCTATGAATGTCATATAAATAAACATTTATTTAATCTTATTCACTTTGTGGAAACATCAAACATTTATTTATTTCCTCAAATCCATTCAAGTGTAAAATTCAAAGACATATTTATTTGCTTCAAATCACAAACAAATAAATATTTATTTAAATTTATTTATCTATTGGAAAATTCAAACAAATAATTATTTCACTCTACTACCACAGAACAAAACTCAACGAAATATTTATTTGCTTTAAATGTCCTATAAATAAATATGTATTTAATAATTAGCACATGTTGGCAAAATCAAATAAATATTTATTTCATAAAAATTTTTTAAGAACAAAAATCAAATAAAAATTTATTTCATCATACTTTTTTGCAAGCAAAAATCAAATAAATATTTATTTCATCGTACTTTCTTGCAAGCAAAAATGAAATAAATATTTATTTCATCATACTTTTTTGCAAGCAAAAATCAAATAAATATTTATTTCATCGTACTTTCTTGCAAGCAAAAATCAAATAAATATTTATTTCATCATATATTCTTAAAAAACAAAAATCAAATAAATATTTATTTAATCATATATTCTTAAAAAACAAAAATCAAATAAATATTTATTTCATCATGTCGACCTATGAGCAAAAATCAAATAAATATGAATCTACTTTTAAATGCCAGATAAATAAATATGTATTTAATGCTAATTGCCTAATGAAGAACTCAAACAAATATATATACTTTATCACCCTGTAGAATGAAAGCGAAGACTTTTACAGGAAAATTATACTTTGCTTTTCTTAATAATTGGTTAATATTTACAAGTCCCCCAGTTTACGGTAATTTATTCTGCAACTCCCTATATATTTATTTGATGAAAAAGCAACAAAAGTTCAACACAAAATCCAAACGCAGACCAATAAAATTGTTTAAAACTGCAAAATACCCAATTTCAGAATGTACGACCCTGATTCATTAAAATCCTTAAACAATTCCTTTCGGACCATATACTCCTCCCAGCATTGGATTAGAAAATTTGTAATACGTGATAAGTTTGTCAATAAATACAAATATTCTTGATGCACACAGGAAGAAAAATCTAGGAAATCGGTGCTGACATAACCATGATTTACCACTATAATACAATTTTCAGATAGAATTAGTAAATATCAATTCATCATAGAAAAAGAAAAAAATTTAAATGTACTACGTTTTATTGTTAAATTTGCCGCTTTAATTTTTAAATAAATTTCTAGTAATGTAGTTTTTTTATAGTTTGTATTGAGTATCAGGGTCAAATATAAATTTAAACGAATATAAATCTGTAAAAAAAATATTTTATTAATGTTAACTATAAAAGTGCATGTTGTGTGATACATTGCAAAACTTATACTAAAAAAACTAAAATAAACTTATGAGAAAGTTAACCTAATATCAAGATCAAAACAAAAGCATTTTCTAAGTTATGAAATAATATCTAGTCAAGATCCAAAAAATATAACCAAAGTATTATATGTAACAAACATGAATAGGTACAGGGACGACAAAAAAATATTCTTAAAAAGTTCATAAAAAATTACGGAAATTAATTTTGTGTGACGGTAGAAATTAAAAAAACTATAAAGATTTCATGCTTGTATTTCCATAGCCTGTAAATCTGCCATTACACAAATTTCACTTTCGAAAATGTTTTGGTCAAAATCATATATTTGTACGTTTTACATGTTCTGTATAATTAACATGAAATTTTTCAACCACAAGAAATAGTCTCCCCGAATAACAATAAAAATTAAAATATTTAAAGGAAACAAAAATATACAGTAACTCGTTATTTTAAAACAACCAAAATTTTAAGTAAATTATATGACGCAAATTACAATTCTTCCATCTCCACTGTAATGAATATTATAAGGACAAAGATTTGGAAGATTTTTATAATAATAGCTCTGAAGATTAGTATTCCTATTGAAAAGTATTTCAAAAGCCTGCATTTTATTAATAAAACCAACTGTCTGCAATTCTGATAATACTAAAACAACTTTATCTTCGTTCAAAACAATATGTTTTATTTGACCAAAAACAGGTACTACTTCATTATCAGATACTTGTAATGCAAAACAAATTTTTAAAAATACATTATTAATTCTTATCCATGGCACTGTAAACGCACCTGCGTTTAAATTTTCAATAAAATTGCAATTTTCATTTAAAACTTGTAAATTTGAACTTGTTGGACCAAATTCAACATCGTCAGAGAAGCCTTTTTTAATTGTTAACCTGTATGAAAACCTAAGAGAATCCTTTATAAATAATGTGAGTAAAAGATTCTTTTTACAAGTAACTACATTAGCTGTGGACTTTAAAAGTTTGTGATATGCTTCATATCTCATACACCATATATGCCGAGGTGGATCCACCTCTCTTATTAACCTTGGATAGTGTAAAAGTAAATGATACTTAGGTCGCAGATGCTCATTAAATAATTTACATAACAATGTATGATGTTCTTTAAGAAGAAGTTCTAAATAGTCAAGAAGCTTAGGAGAAAACGATGAGCTGAGTAAAATTTCTAACATCTCGATTATAGTGTAAAAGTTCCATGCAGGTTCATCCTCTCTTATTAAATCACCTACAAGAATACCAAAATATGCCGAGAGCGATAGCATTTCTGACGCAGACATAATTAAGTGATTTTTCTTTAATTGATCAGCTTTTATTTGAGGCATTGGGTTTCCTAAATCAGTTTGGAAAACTTAAAAAATTTAATTCTACTATTTAAACGATCCAATGTAAAATACTTTTTTTTTATTAATTCATTTATAAGATATGCCATATCATACCGTAAAATTCTTTCAAGAAGACATTGCATCAAGGCACAGGAAATATTTTTTATTAAGTGAAAATTAGGTAATTTATGCCAGATACAAACTTCTTTAACTCCACGACTTAACATACTACTATCTAATTCGTAATTCTCAAGTGTGTGAGGAATTAAATTGTCCTGATTAACTTCTACCTTTGATGTATTTTTATTTATTATACATAGGCGGCAAAAATAATCGGAATTAAAACTTTCTGAAAACCCTAATATCGAGTTTAGCCCTAAATTATCCCCTAAAATTAATAACAAAGTAAAATAAACATGTTGGTTTCCTTCTTCAGTACATATAATAATGCCTTCGTTCTCTAGATGTAAAAGATTATCAATTAGCTCAATAAACACCTTGAAATTTCCATAAGCAAGTCTATCAGAAGAAAAAAATAATTGACCTAAAAAAATGTTTTCTAATAATGAGGCATATTGAGGTGGAATGCAAGCTAAATAAACATATACAGCACCAATTTTGTATATTCCTGCTCTAGAACCTAAAGGATTACAAGGCTCGAAATCGTCAAAAAACAAAAGTATTGGAAAAACTATTTTCTGTGGAAATTTGTTTTGTACTTCCTTCCATAAATTACCCTGATAAATACTTGAAATAATGTTTTGCTCTTGAGAAGTCTCATCATTTATATATTTCATAATAGTACTGTAAACCCCAGGCAATTCAAGAAATTTTTTAAATCTTTGTGTAATGCATATTTTTTGCCCTTCTGCTTTTCTAATAGAAATATCTGGCGCACCAGCTGAATCGATGTGTGTTAAGTAAGAGCGTTGGCCTATATAAAATGGTTCTGGATGTATATAGGTATCTTTGGCCTCAAAATATTTCAGTCTTAAAAATTCTGATTTTAATGTTGTAAATGACTGATTTATATCAACAAATATTGTATCTAACCTTGCTTTAATATCGTTAGATTCCTGCAAATGTACAAGTTTTTTATTTAGTAAAGTAAAAATACTATCTACTAATTCTTTAGTGTTATCAATTACATATTGAACTAGGTTTCTAGAAAAGGAAGGATTACTATATAGTTTGGATACAAATTCAACAATTAAACTATGACATTCATCTGCATTATTTATAAAATGTTTATCCCCATAAGCATTATCACCTGTATTATCAACTGATGTCTGGCTCGTACTACAAGTTTTAAGACAACCATCATTGGCATCAACACGATCCTTAGCATTATTGTCTCCTTGATTTTTGCTTATATTTTCTGGATTAGAATGATCATAGGAATATTGTTTTCTTAGCCCATTAATATCTTTATAGAAACGCTGGCAATTACTCTGCTTGCATTCATATTTAGTTAATAATGGATGAGTTAATTTTAAATGCCGTATTAATGTTGTGTAGGACAAAAATGATTTTTGACATTTGAAGCACAAATATCCCTTATTTTCCATATTAAAATTAGTTTGAAAATTAGTGCGGTGGATAATAATTAATACTTTACTTGCAAATATCTACTACAATAGTCAATGTAGGAAAAACACGTCAAATTATAAATTTAGTTTTGCTTTTACAGTAATCAAAATCGCAATTTCCTCAAATCCACAAATCCCAAATTTTAAAGATTTCTGATTTCAGGAAAATTAGGCTCTGGGGTTTCTAACCCAAATACACTATATAAACAAATTATATTCATATTCCTAAAAATTAGTTATTTGACAATTTGTATATAAAATCTGTTTTTAGGTCAAATTTAGTAACTTATATATTTTCCATCAAACTCAAAACAAAAGATCGTTAATAATTTACTTAGTTTTTATATTATAAAAAAAACACCTTCCATATCCTTGGAAATACATTATTGAAGCAATTCGTTAACAAATGGTATTTTTAGCATTGAAACAGAAATCAAGGGCGTTTAAAACAGAATGGCATTTATAGTCAATATTGTTGATAACAACAAAAGCACTGGTTATATTATTAAGACTATTTCCCACAAGCAGTATGTATGGCTGTACAGTAAATCCCTTACCATACATAAGATCAATTCTTTTTTTTTTGCTTCCGCAATATCACCTGGTATTTTCACGTGAAGAATGAGCGATTCACGGCATTCTACAACTGACGGTTTCCAATGGGTTTTATTTGGAAGTTTTGTACGTCCTTTCGGCGGCACAAGCGATGGAAATAAGTATAGCTGTATGGCAGTTCTTGAATCTAAAATTTCAAAAATGACATGATCTAAAAATAATATAAAACCAAATTTACAAAAATGTGCTACATTTCCTCGAACTAGAAGACCCGAGAAAATATATTCCACATAAAAAAAAGACTTGTACATATTTTTTTGTCACTTTTCAGTTTTAGTAGTTGCTTTTTTAAAATCATAAAATTTTTGTTTTAGATTTCATAAAATATGAAAATTGCTGTCATTTAGGTGCACTGTAGTAATTATTGGATTTTTAATTTTGCTCACTAATCTTTACATATATATAAATCTGGTAGATTATTGTATTATCACTGTACATAGATACAATATATTATCTCAGTAATAATAAATCAACATTTCCGTAGTGAATGTGAATAACAGCGATTTACAATAGTAGATACTTTAGAAGGAAAGTAACTTCATAAAACATGCCTTACCAATTGTAATTTCGGTTTTCAGTAATGCATTAATGGTGTTATCTGTTGCATTTAAGCCACTTTTCTTTATTTCATATACTCTACTAAAGAAAGTATTAAATTCACTATCTAAATCAAAGTTCCTCAGTGAATGAAGCTGTTCGAAATCATAATTCACCTAAAAAAATAATACTTTTTTATTTCACCATACATTTTAGGAATATCTTATTTATTTATGGTTCTAAATCATATATTTAAATTTTTCTTTTAATCTTCTTGGGGTGTATGTCTTGTGTTTGGTATTATATAAAACCACAGTTTTACCTTATATTTAGTATGGCTTTCGGTATCTGTTTTATGCCTTCTTCTGTATTTTTACTTTCCTATCTGTATACAGATGAAAGTATAGGAATCATGTTTTTTTTCGACCTCGATTTATCTACAGATTTTTACGTTTTGGGGTCCCCTGAATCCGTTTTGACTATTTTCGCGATGATGTGTGTATGGGTGGGTGCGTTCGTGTTTACAACAAATTTGTTCTAATAAGTACTTATAAAAATATAAACATTTTTATTATAATAATCAATAATGACCCATGAATAAAACATATAATATATTAACTAAATAATAATAAATAGTACGGAAGAGGACACAAAAAATGGTGAAAGCTACACAAAAAAGGTAGAACTGTGTTTTTATTTGAAATAAAACAAAAACCTACATCCCAAGAAGATTAGAATAAAAATTAAAAAACATTATACCTATTTTACATATCAATTTGTTAATAAATGTTACAATAGTCCATAGTGTATTTCAAAGAATATAAAATAGTGCTAATGAGCAAAATTTTTTCAGGAGTTATTTATTTTTAGTTAGAACTTACCAATTCTGGTGCAATTTGCATCTTCAATATAGGCCATTCTTCCAAATAAGAGTCTATGGTCATGGATTTAGAAAGAATCCTTACACTATACGACCTTTTTCAGTGCTCTAAAACTTCTTCTGAAGGTCCAGAATTCCTTTTTAGCCAAATCTGGCTATCTTGTGCTTCCTGAGATATATCTAAAATGCAAGAATAGTATAATGGCAAAAAATGCACTCTTGTAATATGCATTAGGGTGGAGCAAAAACAGCAATTTTCAGCGGTTTTTCGAATTTCAAATTCTAATAGGGTACAAAACTTGCCTTATATGTTTCTTATTAACACATTTTTTTTATTTTTTTTTTAATCAATATTTTCTGTCTCCCCATCGCCGTTTAAAACCAGCGATATTCTGAAAATTTCATTTTGGAAATGACTTTATTAATATTCACTGTAATTCTATTTTTCGAATCTAATACAGCACATTTCTTAGTACTTATATGACACATTGCTTATATCATCGAATGTCCAATTTATTCTTATATCGTCTGTCTCCCCAAAGACCTTGATCTTATCAAATATTTCAAATTATCAGTAGTTCATATTAAATTTTACACCGCTTGGCAACGTCGCTATTCTAGTAATGTTGATACGGTTTCAAAAGTCATTCAGTTCACTATTTTACAGGAGTGAAAATAGTCTAACACTTCTTTATATTTTTTTAATTATTCGAACGCACCTCTAAAATAATTTCATTAGTCGAACACTTCTTTATAATATTTTTAATTATTCGAACGCACCTCTAAAATAATTTCATTAGTTGACACGTTGGAGTCTTCAATTTCCGGTGCACATGTGTTGCGACTAGGCTAGGCAACTAACTCTCTTTTACAGATTTTGAACTGCAATAATGTCATTAGTAGATGTAACAACTCGTTGTGCTGTAAGCTGCCCTGTTTTTGGGACACCAACCAAATTGAATGAAAATGTTTTGCCAACTTACGAACAGGTAATGAGATTTTACGCTTTTATTAGGTTTAATAAGAAAACAAGTAAAAGGGAACCAGCCTTTGCAGAAATATCACAGGAAGTAACAGTTGAATTGGAAAAAATATGGCAGAGAGCCTCTATTCCTGTAGTTTCTCGAGAAAGAATTTTACAAATGATGCAGTCTTACCATGCAAAGTTTATGAAACTTATGAAACCATTCAAAGGCAGACTACATATTGAGTCATATCGAAATAAAATTATAACTTTTAGAGAAGAAGCAAAGGTCACTTTGTTTGATATTGCAGCATGTAAGTGTGATTTATCTGAAAATTCTTGTGTCAGTTGTACCTGTTGTAAGTCTCGCAAGGTGCCCCCGAAGAAATAACATTTTTATTGGATCAGAGAACTACAAGGAGGATGGTTATAGGTAAAGCTGATAAAATGCTAACAAAACAACTGCAGCAAAGACAGAAAAGAAGGAAGATAGAGAAAGAGAGACTAGAAATGTTCAGAAAAGAGTCTATGTCTTCTGTAATATCAGAAACTACCATTTATTCCAACTCACAATTAAAAATAGATTGTGCCCCTTCGACATCTACTTCTACAGATGAAACTAAAGTAAAAGCTTCACAAATGAGATTAAACCTAACTTCATTTGCTAGTACATGTGACAGACATGCCGTATCCGACAGAACTGCAGCTGCACTTGCATCTGCAGTGTTGACAGATGTCGGAGTAATATCACCAGAAGATATTTCAAAAGTAATTGACCGGAGTAAGGTAAGGAGAGAACGGCAGAAAAATCGCTTGCAGTTAAAGGATAAACTTTCTTCTACTAGTGTATGCGGACTATATTTTGACGGACGTAAAGATAAAACATTGGCGCAAGTGAAAAAGGACGCTAAATATTACCGTCAGTCTATAGTTGAAGAACACATAACGTTGATCCAAGAACCCGATGGTCAATATCTAGGACATGTGATGCCACGTTCCGGTTCAGCTAAAGACATTATGCGTAGTATCGTTGCTTTTTTTAACTATAATGAAATTGATATTACCCAGTTAGCAGCAATTGGCTGCGATGGAACTGTGGTGAACACTGGTATAAAGGGAGGTGTAATTAAATTACTGGAGGAATACTGTGGCCGACCTCTTTAGTGGTTAGTGTGTATGCTGCACGGAAATAAGCTACCCCTTCGCCACCTTTTTCAACATTTAGATGGACAAACTTCTGGACCCCGAGGATTTTCAGGTCCTATTGGGCGGATGTTAGAATCATGTGAAAAACTAAGCCTAGCTAATTTTGAAAAAATTGATGGATGTTTACCTGTTGTTCCTCAAGCCGTTTCCAAAGATCTCAGTACAGATCAAAAATATCTCTTCGAGATATGGCATGCTGTTGTTAAAGGTGACTGTTCACAAAGTTTAGCCAGACGAAACCCAGGTAAAATAGTCCATTCGCGTTGGTTGACGATGGCGAACCGCATTTTGCGTTTATATATTAGTACACAAAATCCCTCAACTAAGTTGAAGACCCTCGTCGAATATATAATAAAAGTGTATACGCCAGTGTGGTTTCACATCAAGTGCAATCCTTCATGTTACAAGGGTGCAGAACATTTGTGGCGTACTATTAATTTATCCCGATATCTATGCAGTGAATTAAAAGCCGTAGTTGATCCAGTTATTCAAAGGAATGGTTTTTTCGGACACCCGGAAAATATATTACTAACAATGTTGTTTGATGAGAGGCCTTATGTAAAAGAGCTTGGAATTCGACGCATTATGAAAACAGGGAGTCATCCAACCATCCAGTCATCATGTCGTCAAATAAGAGTATTTACAATCCCCTCTTTTAACTTTGAAGCTGCTGATTATATCGATTTGATATGCTGGCAGGAAGTCCAGATTACTGAACCTCCAATTACAAAAAGGACCTCAGATGATAGCTTGAAAAACTTATTAGTTAACAATTTGGCATCCGAAATCTTCAAAAAATACCCTTGCCACACACAGGCCGTCGAGAGGTGCGTTAAGTTGGTGACTGATGCATCTATTTCCGTTTGTGGGTTTGAAGCTAGGGATGGATTTATAAGAGCAGGAATACATTCAAGATAAACAATGTCATCATTTAATACTAAGTCAGACTTCGTCGTGGATAAATGAACTGGAAAATTAGATATTTTATAGAATGTTTTGTTCTTATTTTTCGTATTTTTTTAAAAATATTCTGTTTACATTATAAGAATTAAACCATTGTTTGTTTGTTTGTTTGTTGTCCTACGATATTTTGCATAATTATAATGTTTTTACTTAGCTACTTACTGCTTGCCGTGAAGAATGTTTTTGTTCATATTTTTCTTATTTATTGTTAAACTTGTCTGTCAAAATTGCAATAATTAAACTATTTTATATAACAAGGTATAGTTTTTTTTCTAGTTGTCTACCAACATTTTATATATTTATAATATTTTTTTGACCTACTGGTTATTTGAAAATTTGTTGAAAATTTTAAATTTTACTATATAAGAGGGGTCTTAGGGGACAGGAGTATAATAACCTACTATAAAATGTTATAGAATGTTAATATATCATCGGTAGTAACTACTGTGCTATATTGGACCTGTAAAAGTGTAGCAGAATTCCAGATTGGTGTCAACATGTTTGCAAGAAAAGGGTGTTTCATTAACATTTCATTAAATTTCAAAGGCGAGGGGGAGGCAGAAGATATTGTCAAAAAATCAAAATTTTTTGGTAGGTATTATAGTTTTATTTAACGCAAGTTTTGCCCACTATTGGCACAAGCATTTCAGATGTTCATTTTTTCGCTATTTCTCAAGCGAGGGGGAGGCAGAAGATATTGACAAAAAATAAAATTTTGGTAATACAGTTTTATATAACGCAACTTTTGCCCACTATTGGCACAAGCATTTCAGATGTAAATTTTTTCGCTCCACCCTAATATGCATGCAGTCTGGAATGTTGTATTTTTAAAGTTTTTATTTTTTAATAGTGATTCATTATTACATCGTTGTTTATTTTTCTTTGGAGAAATCAATTTTTGTCCTTTAAAAGATTTAAGCAGATGCAATTTGTTTCTATATTTTTCCACAAGTTTGCCCCTAGATCGCACTGGCTTGTTGTCCCTAGAATCTCTCTTTTTAATAGGAGATATAAAATAAGTTGAACTTTTTTCATTGGGCAACAATTTTTCTATTTGTTTAGCTAGATATCTAAAATGGTCATGATCCAGCCTTTTATATTTGTTTAGTGCATAAGTAGTAACAATGTCAGCAATCCTATATCTGTCGTTGTTTGTTAAAGTCTTATTCTTTGCCTTTTCTAGTAAGGCCTGAGCAAAGATATCATTAGAGAAAATATCCTTTAAGTTAATATTTTCAATGGTTACAGTCTCTAGGTTCTTTTCAGGATCGTAATTCTCCTTGGAAACCACGGTAAAAGTTGATGATCCAGAAATCGATTCTAAATAAACACTTGAGGATGAGGAAGGCTGTGGACTTGGTGCAGTTTGCACTGATGAACAAGTTTCATTCCCAACGTAAATTGGCAACTCATCAACATTTAATATTTCAATGCCAGTAAGAGAGTCATTCGAGAAGGATTCATCAAATTTGTTCTTTTTAAATGCTGGTTCTACATGCTCTTCAAACTCAGTTTGCTGCAAAATAAAATGGTAGAGATAGACATATTTTTATCATAATGAGTTATTTTTGTTTTTGTTGGGCTTTGTGAATCAGAATATTATTTTCTGAACAAAAAAGATGATTTTGAATTTGAATTAAATGTAACGAAACAGTAACTGGCAAAACTGCACCAAATGAGAAACTTATTATTTATAGCCTTCACAAAAAATATTGTTCTTGATAAAAGTTGGTGCATAACAAAAACTAATTTAGTAGGTGAAAAATGTTTATTAGGTTAAAGAGATTGCCAAAAAAAGTACAAAAATGTGACTTTAAGAAAACACATGAAGATAATTTTGTTAAATAAAGTCTTCCAAAATGCAAGTTATATCTTTTTTTTTTTCGTGTAATATATAGTTTTTAA